TAATTCGCACCAATGAAAATTACATAGAATCTGTGATGGAATCTACGTAGAAGTTTGTGTAAAACCCGTGATTTTGATGTTGGATCGATGGATGAAATAATAAATCAAACAATAGCACAAGGAGAATATTATTAAAGTGGTTTGGATGCTTAATGTAAATCCTACATTCACTGTTCTTGTCTTATTTTTTTTGTGTTTTTTGTTGCACACCAGTATAGCTTACAAAGTATGAATGAATTCAAATCCTCAATTTGAGGTATGCTTATATATTGTTATAGTGGTAAACTTGTAAATAAAGTTAACTTAAAAAAATGACACGTGACATGAATTCATGCTTTAAGGATTTACCGCACAACATATCTGAAGTACAAAAAACAACTCAAAAGATAAGTAAACGAAACAATCATCTTTAGTCTTTCCTGGAATTGAAATCTCGTTTAATTTACCATATAGTAACGTCCACGTGAAAACAAAATAAAAATTGGTAGAATATTTCCTTAAATTAAGAGTCCTATATGTTAGATAATTAATTTTTGTATAGAAATATTGAAACTTGTAAGGAAAAAGATTTCTTTAATTAATTATAGCAAATAATTAACTCAAGAAGATTAATCGGATCATAAACAGATTAAGTATGTGATTTTCTCTTAAAAGGTCTAAGATTCAAACTCTCTCACAAGCAACTATATCAATATATAGTTTGGATGCATACACCGGTGCAATATCCTGCATCGAGGATATTTGTCTTCGACAATGTTAGCCTAGTGAGTTGCCAACGTTCTATTTTGCGTTAGAAACCTAATCTGAAACGTAGATTTCAATTTTTTGATGCAATTAAGGATTGTAATTTCAAACTCAAGCTTACAACTAAGGGGGATTCTGTGTATTATTTAAAAAAAAAAAAAAAATTTGATGAAATGAGTTATTCATATACATGACAATGAGTAATAAAAAAAAATATAAACTATAAGTTGTACATATATAGACAATTGTTAAATTAAATTAAAGTCAAATGGATTCAAGGGATGTCACCAAATTTTTGTATGAATAAAGTTGGCTGAATTGGTACAAAAGTAAATGCATTTAAGAATTTAGAGTATTCGCTCATTTCACCCTTTTTAATAACCTTATAATATAATATAATATGGAAGGTCACGATCTTCTTTTTATAACATGACTACATTCATATAATGATATAAATATAATTTTTTAATGTATTTCAATGTGATTTAAAAATTGTAAAACTGATATTAAAAATTTACTATTTTTAGATTTTAATTTCACTCTCAAGTCAATTAGATTACAATAAATCAAAGATAAAAAAATTTGTGTATCCATAATTTATAGATTTCAATGAAATAAACTCTTATGGGATTATTTAATTTCAAGTAGAGTAAACAACTTTTTCCCACCGAAGGTTTGCCTTAATAGCACTTTTCCATCCAAAAAGTTTCAAAATATCACTTTACTACACAAACGTTATATTCCGTTAATAATTTTCATTAAATACAGTGATATTCATTGAAGACAAAAATACTCTTCTCTCTTCTCTTCTTAGCCCCCATCGTGGCCAGAACAACCACCAACTCCACCACCTCCTCCTCCTCCTACTTTAGCACCGCCAAGGTTCTGAAACCTGGAATGGATCTGGCGGTCAAACCGGTCCGACCGGGACTCGCTTGCATTTCCGGTTTGAAGAGAGCAAATAACCGGGATTTGCCATATGGCCGTTTCAAACCGCGGTTGGATCGTCGCACTGTAGCAAACAAACGGTCCAACCGGTATTTAACAGATTTCCGGTCCACACATTTCCGGTTTAACACATGAAATTAAAAAAAAAAAAAACAATTTAAAAATTAAAAACCACATGCGCGCACATAAAGTCAAAGTGTCAAACTCAAACCAAACCCTCAAAATTTTTATTAAAAAACACATTTTTAATTTGCTTTTGAGCTACAGATACAGAGCCGTCTCCCCTTCTTCAATTTTTGATCACTTTTTCATCTTGGTTTGCTACTGCCATTCGCGATCTCCTCCACTCTCCAGAGTCCAGTCTAGTCCTCCTCTTCGTGTCCTCCATTCGCGATCTCAGAAGCCAGATCTCCTTCAAGCTTTTAGTTAAGCTTCAGCGATTCAGCCTCACGTCTTCACTCTTCAGTCTTCAAGTCTTCGGTCTGCAGTTTGCTCTACTTTGCTTCAGCGCTTCATTCTTCAACTTCCAGTCTTCTAGTCTTCAACGTGAACTCTTCAATCATCACCATCGCCATTGCTGATCTGTCGGATTAGTCATTTCAGCTCAGATTTCAGCTTCAGCCTTCACATCTACTGCCGTCTGCCGCCATCATCTTGGTTTTATTATTGTTGTAGCCTAGGGTTGGTTTGATGGTTTTTAAACTTTAATTAGATGGAGAAATTATTGTTGTAGGGTTGGTTTGATGGTTTTTAAACTTTAATTAGATGGAGAAATTATTGTTGTAGGGTTGCTTTTGATGGTTTTTGAACTTTAATTAGATGGAGAATCTGAATTTTTTGGCTTTTTTACTTTTTTGCTTATTTCAGCATGCTGATATCAGCATGACATCATGCTGACATCAGCATGCTGACGTCACCGGTTCGACCGACCGGTCAAACCGTTCGAACTGGGAACCGGCCATTTGGCCAGGTCGGCTCCTGGTCCGATTTTCAGAACCTTGAGCACCACCACCAATACCACCTCCATCTAGTCTAATTTTTTTAATCAATCAAACAACCATTCAAACAATTCCAATCAACGGTCAAAACAAACACAACAACTCTCCAAAATCCGATGATTTTTTTTTTTTTTTTGGGGGGGGGGGGGGGGGGGGGGGAGGTGCGACAAACTTGCGCATAGGGGCATGAGTGTAGAGGCAATCGCTCAAGTGTCGCACACACAAGTGTGGGCTATTGGAAATTGGCCTAGAAATTTCGTCGAGCGGTTGGTGGGCATGGCTTAGAGCTTTAGAAATCCAATGATAGAAGGTCACTGACGGCCAGAAAAATCAAATTCATACACACAAAACACTTATACAACTTCCAATTTCAAGAATCAACCTCCAAAATGCCCTAATTTCATCATATGGCAAAAACCCCAATTTTGTGAAGAAACAAACCCTAGAGAGGAGGGTGGAAATTAGCAAGTGAACAATGTCAAGGCTATTGGGGTTTTGGATTGGGGGTATTGGTGAGAAGAATGGTGGTGACGGGGTGGTTTTCGGTGAAGGAATCGACAAAAATCGTGCGGCCACAACAGTGGGCTATAGATGGAGATTGGTGGGATGAATAGGGAGACGGAAAGATGAGTTTTATTAAGGAGGCTGAGGGGAGTGTTTTGGTAGTGTTGGGGACAGTTGTTGACGTGTCAAAAAGGCGTTGATAAGGCTTGGGTTGGCTGTCGCTCGCAATGGAGCATTTTGCAAATAAAGTTCGATTTTGACCATATCTTGGGCATATTTGCTAGGGAATGGCTCAATGATGAAAGGGGTGAAGAGATCTATCTATTTGGTGAAGAAATCGACAAAAAACAACACCCAAACGACTAGAGGTGGAGTCAATAAAGGTGAGGTTATGTGGAAGATGAAAAGATTGAGTTGATTTAGGTGGAGATGGTCGGTGGGGTTTTGTAGAGTAGGTTATTAATTGATCATCATGTCCTTACATATAACAGATTTTTGACCATTCTGCCCTTCTTCATAATGATATTTACTAACGGAAAGTGTGCTTTGGATAGTAAAGTGGTATTTTGAAATTTTTTGGGTGCGAAAGTGTCATTAAGGCAAACCTTGGGAGGAAAAATCATTTACTCTTTCAAGCATACCCAAGATTAATTAAAATCATGAAAAACCTTCTATTATGAAAGTATTGAAAACAAACTGAGAGGATTTATTATGATGTTATTAAATAAAACTAATGGCCTAAAATGAATGATAAAATATCAAAAATCTCTTTAAGGTTTCGAAAATAACAGAAATTCTTTTACCATGAAGTTTTAAATGTTAAAATAAACGATAAGAAAGTAGTTTAATAATATTTTTAAACTTACAAGAATATAAATATTAACGGTTTACGGACAATTCTTTAAGGATGAATTATTTTTATTATTTCAAAAACCTCATAAGAATTTTGTTATTAGATCATACCTTAGGAGAATTTCGTTATTTATATTCTATCATACTTGGTACAATGGTACTTAGCATCATACCCACAAATAGAACCAGTCTATGTAGCAACTAGTGTGAAGAGAATGTGGCCACCATTACATATTCCACTACTATATTGGGATATAGTTTAAATAAACCATTCCCAAATTACAAATAAATTCTCTTCCTCTCCTTTTTTCCAACTACTAATTATGATTATGTTTTGTTGATTCCTAGTGTAAAGGAATTCCTTATCTTTCACTATTTGGCATGAAAAGGTATGTATGGACCATATCCAAGTCTAACCCATAAATAATATTTAATTACACCACCCAAACTAGTAATAACCCGTATATTCAACAGAATAAATATTGTCAATTTTGGATTTAACTTGACCGTATTTATTTTTAGCTCTATCAGAGTGTTTTACTCGAAACATATATACAAGTTACTTGCTATAAACGTGTGATATGATAAAAGTTTTGTGATTCTCGTTTAGACTGGAATGGTAATGGCATCTTTCTAAATCAAAATCAAAATTATCTCTTTCTTGTGTTGTACCACATTTCCATATACTTTTAGTATATGCTCTTAGTCTCTTGTAACCTTTCTTTTCAGGGTGAATAATTTATAATTGTGTGCCAAATTGGGCCACTAGGAATTGAGTTCTTTAATTTCCAAGGTTGCATAAGTATATTGGTAAGTTCCAATGTAACTTTCCCTGAAAGAAAAGAATAAATAAAAAAAAAAAAAATTCAGTAAAGTTGATATAATTCTGTCTCTGACATTTCTTAGAAATGAGCCTAAACCAGAATAACCATGCTCTTGTTTCAATTTCTCTAACAAAGGAAGTCAGCTTAGAGATCCAATTCCCAGTAAGAATCTGATAATTTTCTCCATTAGTTTCTGCATAAACATTTGATGAGATCAATGGCACTCAATGGCAAGGCTGATGAATCGGAAACTTATTCAGCTTTAGGATTGGTTGATTCAGGGAAAGGAATAAGTTGTTCAGGAACTCCCCACGTTGTATCGATTGTTTCATCTGTTCTTGAGAGAGCAATTCAGAAGAATGAGAACCTACTGAAGGCATCGAACAAGAAGGATGTTGTTACCATATTTCATGGTTCAAGAGTTCCCAGCTTGAGCGTCAGACAATATATGGAACGCATCTTTAAGTACTCAAACTGCACCCCTTCTTGCTTTGTTATTGCATACATATACATCGATCGATTCCTTCAAAAACTCAATGCTTACCTTACAAGCCTCAACGTGCATCGCCTTCTGATTACCAGTATCATGGTTGCTGCAAAATTTTTCGATGATGAGTAAGGCCTTACAGATATATATCTCTAGAAAACCAATATGTTTTCATCTGTCGAATTTTGATTGAATGGATAGATCTTTTATTCTGCAGGCGTCATAACAATGCTTATTTCGCCAAAGTGGGAGGGGTGAGCACTGCAGAAATGAACAGACTGGAGATGAAGTTCTTGTTTACTCTGGACTTTAGGCTTTATGTGACAACAGAGGTCTTCAGGAAGTACTGTCTAAACCTGGAGAAAGGAGCTGGAGAAATACGAGATCATGCCGTCAAACCAATTGAAAAAAGGATGGCCATTCAAAGATGAGAGCTAAGCTGCAGAGCAATATGACAGAAGCAGCAGCCTTCTCTATAAGTTTTCTTCATATTCAATCTTAGGGGAGTCAATATATCACAAAACCAGATTCCAGGACACGAAAAATGTCTGAAATAATGTAGAACAATAAACTATATATGGAAGAAAATTGCCCACTCATGTTACAATTTCAGGATTATGGTTTCATATTTAAGTTTCAGGTTTAATGCTAAACCATCAGATGGACATTTCACTACATCCAGAAATGTTCTCAACATACAAACTGACGCTCCTGACTTACATAGGTAGATTGTAGGTTCACCAGGGAATCCAGTATTGAGCTCAGGTAGAAAGTTATCTGAAAGCAAATGAGAGCTCCACAGGATCAGCTGTATGTATCCAAAGAGGATTCGGCCAGTGACTAGTGAATATTTGTTGGTTTATCCTTCAATCAAAGGTGTTTTTCCTTGATGCATAGAACGGCAAGCTGCCAATACAACAATGGCAACCGCATCTCCAACTGCAACGGTGAAACACAAGCAATAACCTGGTATACGGTTAACGCATGGATGAAAGTTTTATAAATTTGCTTTTATTATTTTAAAGGGTGAAAGTAATGCTTAGACCCAGACAATCAACACACCTAAACAAACATAAGAGAGCGATTAATGAGTGGATGATATTGCTTCCGGGTTTTCCCTGCTTCAGTTTCTGGAATACTCAAAGTGCGATTGCTCTGCTGCAACTACAATCCTCGGGAATACATTATTGAAATCACCCACTGTGAGCTGATTGGAATAGGAGCCCTATTCCCATATCTTGGCTAACCTACAATAGCATATATTTCAACAAAGTTACTGTAATTTCAACCCAGCTTAAAAACAGAAATGGATTTAAAAGGAAAAAGGTGAAACAGCATAGAATGCTGTATTTTACCCACAAACATGAGCACAAAACAATCAAAATTCTAGCATTGTTTGAGATTGCATCAATAAAACTGTCTTAAGTTTACTTTGCAACGAAATAAAAAGTAAGACTTTATAGTCAATTGTACGGTCTAGACATCTTTGTTCAGCCAGCAAAATTGATGTCAACACAGAAAAAGAAAAGACATTAGCCACAAGAAACCCCAAGATAAAGTACTCAATTAAGCAAAGACCCTTCAGATCAAGAGCATGATTATGATGATTTCAGTACCCTAAGTTCCTAACCCAAGAAGAGAAAACATTATATATTGCTGTAATCATTCAACATACTTATCGAAGAAAGTAAATACCCTGGTAGAAAATGAATCCGGATCATCATCTTAGCGGCAACAATGAGGCCAGTATCCTCACCATGATCGGCAACATCTACAAGTAACTCAGTTGCGTTTTGCTATGACCCTAAGTTGAAACATTTGGATCAAAAGTGAACTTTTGAGAACCTGGGGATTACACTATAGTTTTTTCAAACCTTAAGGACTACATTGTTCTTAACATGAAAGCCTACGTGTTCAAAGTTTAAGTGATCTACGTACGCAATTTCAAAACTACAACTTTACCTGCTTCCATTCCCTCCATTTCCTCTATTCATTTTCCTAATCCCTCCTCTCCGGTTTTCCCTCTTAACCTCCACACCTGGCCCATATTAGCAGAAGCCTCCGCACGTCCATGGCGTCTCTATCTCCGCAATCGACCTCTGTCCATCCGGGCCGCATTCGGATTCTAAAACAAGGTTCACCACCAGCGTTAGATCAACATGCTGGTCCGGTTGAAACCCAGAGCACTTTCATGTCTCTCTCCATATTTGCATTTCGGGCAGATATCGCAAGCAAATCCACATCTTCTCTCAGAATCGATTAGGAAATCCATTAGCTTCAGAAAATCGCAAACACGAGTATTCCATGGGTAATGGCATTGCTCCAAAGCTAGAACATTTCTAAGTACACGATCAGTATCATCGTCTATATATAAATATGGGAGTTGCAACTCATGTAATTGCTTTTCAAATCTTATGAACATGTGTTCTCCTTCAATTTTCTTAAACTTCACTCCCGAGTCCCGACTCATGCAGCTTCCTTGCACATGGTAAATATGTAATAAATGTGGCGGCTTGACCTGATGTCTGTCAGTTTTCCAGAAGAGANGATGGCCATTCAAAGATGAGAGCTAAGCTGCAGAGCAATATAACAGAAGCAGCAGCCTTCTCTATAAGTTTTCTTCATATTCAAGCTTAGGGGAGTCAGTATATCACAAAACCAGATTCTAGGACAGGAAAGATGTCTGAAATAATGTAGAACAATAAACTATATATGGAAGAAAATTGTCCACTCATGTTACAATTTCAGGATTATGGTTTCATATTTAAGTTTCAGGTTTAATGCTAAACCATCAGATGGACATTTCACTACATCCAGAAATGTTCTCAACATACAAACTGACGCTCCTGATTTACATAGGTGGATTGTAGGTTCACCAGGGAATCCAGTACTGAGCTCAGGTTCTCAAAGCGAGTTCGTAGTATTTCTAGATTATAAAAGAAAAAACCCTTAAATAAACTCTTAGTAACAGTCGATGCAAAAAAAGGGAAATTTTTTTTAATGTATTGGACTGATGCTAGTTCAGGGTGGAAATTCTGTGAAAATTTCAAGTCCAAACCACCAATTCGAATTAAAATTAACAACTCTCTCAATATAGTGAATGATCAAAAAGGCAATTTAGGAACAATCTGTAGCAAAAAAAATTTACTGCGCATGCCCCTGCACAATAACTTGTTCAATTGTACATCATTAAATATTCTACTACTCGAACTCTTCCATCCAAACTAGCTCACCTAAATAAAATACTTCAAGCACACAAAGGGCAATTAAAGACAGTGCATTGGAAATTAAGTCAGATAAACCATTTCAATTAACCTGAGAAAGTTATCTGAAAGCAAATGAGAGCTCCACAGGATCAGCTGTATGTATCCAAAGAGGATTCGGCCAGTGAATAGTGAATATTTGTTGGTTTATGCTTCAGTCAAAGGTGTTTTTCCTTGCTGCATAGAACGGTAAGCTGCCAATACTACAATGGCAACCGCATCTCCAACTGCAACAGTGAAACACAAGCAATAACCTGGTACACGGTTAACACATGGATGAAAGTTTTATAAATTTGCTTTTATTATTTTAAAGGGTGAAAGTAATGCTTAGACCCAGACAATCAACACACCTAAACAAACATAAGAGAGCGAATAATGAGTGGATGATATTGCTTCCGGGTTTTCCCAGCTTCAGTTTCTGGAATACTCAAGTGCGATTGCTCCAGAATATATTATTGAAATCACCCACACTGTGAGCTAATTGGAATAGGAGCCCTGTATTCACATATCCTGACTAACCTACAATAGCAAATATTCCAACAAAGTTGCTGTATTTTCAACCCAGCTTAAAAACAGAAATGGATTTAAAAGGAAAAAGGTGAAACAGCATAGAATGCTGCATAGAATGCTGCATTTTACCCACAAACGTGAGCACAAAACAATCAAAATTCTAGCATTGTTCAAGATTGCATCAATAAAACTGTCTAAGTTTACTTTGTAACAAAGGATGACGAAATAAAAAGTAAAGACTTTATAGTCAATTGTACGGTCTAGACATCTTTGCTCAGCCAGCAAAATTGACCTCAACACAGAAAAAGAAAAGACATTAGCCACAAGAAACCCCAAGATAAATTACTTAATTAAGCAAAGACCCTTCAGATCAAGAGCATGATTATGATGATTTCAGTATCCTAAGTTCCTAACGCAAGAAGAGAAAACACTATATATTGCTGTAATCATTCAACATACTTATCGAACAAAGTAAATACCCTGGTAGAAAATGAATCCAGATCATCATCTTTAGCGGCAACGATGAGGCCAGTATCCTCACCATGATCGGCAACATCTACAAGTAACTCAGTTGCGTTTTGCCATGACCCTAAGTTGAAACATTTGGATCAAAAGTGATACTTTTGAGAACCTGGGGATTAGATTATACTTTTTTCAAACCTTAAGGACTACAGTGTTGTTAACATCGAAAGCCTACGTGTTCAAAGTTGAAGTTATCTACGTACGCAATTTCAAAACCACAACTTTACCTGCTTCCATTCCCTCCATTTCCTCTCTTCATTTTCCTAATCCCTCCTCTTCGGTTTTCCCTCTTAACCTCCACACCTGGCCCATATTAGCAGAAGCCTCCGCACGTCCATGGCATCTCTATCTCCGCAATCGACCTCTGTCCATCCGGGCCGCATTCGGGTTCTAAAACAAGGTTCACCACCAGCGTTAGATCAACATGCTGGTCCGGTTGTTTACTGGATGTTCAGAGATCAACGGCTGAGAGACAACTGGGCTTTGATTCACGCCGTTGATCAAGCCAACAAGAATAACGTACCTGTGGCTGTGGCTTTTAATCTTTTTGATCAGTTCTTGGGTGCTAAAGCCAGGCAACTAGGGTTCATGTTAAAAGGTTTGCGTCATCTGCAGACAAGTATTTGAAGAAACTTTTCAAATTCCATTTTTCTGTTCAGGTTTGTCTTTTTAGACTTCAAGAATTATTAGAATATGAATCTCAAGTAGTGTAATTTAGAACATTAAAATTAATGAATTTTGGGATTAAAATTTATAGGGAGAAGCTGAAGAGACTATACCCAATTTTGTGAAAGAATGCGGGGCTTCATTGTTAGTACTGTTTACACCTTTAAGGGAAATTCGGAGATGTAAAGATAATATGCGGGAGGGTTAGTGTTCAGTAGCTAACTGAGTTTATGCACATAATGTAGTACCTGTTTGGGTAGCACTGAGAAGTTGGAGTACAGTGCAAAGACCTTACGTGGGAAGATCAATAAATTGCTTCAGGAGTACTCATTGATTTCCCTGTTTGCAATCTCCACTAGAAAATGGGCTGCTACTAGACTGTCGATTGATTGGACAGCGTTATTGCTGATGTTTTAAGGTAGATATTATTTGATTCGAGTGAGATGAGGTGAGATTTCTTGGGCATCTAAATTTTTTTTTTTTTTTTTGGTTTCAATAGGAAAGGGCGGAAGTTCCTGAAATTGACTGGTGTCAACCTGGAGAAGATGCAGCAATGGAAGTATTGAAGGGAAGTAATGATGGGTTTTGACAAAGAGGTTGAAGGGCTATCCTAAAGATAGGAATAACCCATTGAAACCCAGAGCACTTTCATGTCTCTCTCCATATTTGCATTTCGGGCAGATATCGCACAGAGATTGCCTTGGAGGCACGTCGTGCAAGGAAACTTTGTCCTGAGGTTCGTGGTATCTAAATTTTTGGATTCATTGTGTCTATTTTATGTATTTGCGTGAAACGGAAGCCCGATTAGTTTAGTCTTGAATATATTTGTTGAATTTAGCGTGATACCCACAATGAGCTCCAGTTTGCTATCATTGGATTATTGTATCTCTTGTTTTTGTTATAATTTATTGTATCTGATATAGCTTCTGTACTACCTGCTACTCTAAAGGCAATTGATGCATTTTTGGAGGAGTTGATTTGTGTAGAGAACTTGCCGATAACTTTTGCTTCTACCAGCCTCATTAGATTCATGAAGGGGGCTGGGAAGGGCTCGTAAGACCTTGAAGGACCATGCCTCTGATAAACGAGAGCTTATTTACACGTGAGTAGTATGTGTTCGTTCATTGGTTACTATAGATATAAAGGCTCCCTTATCACAGGCAGCTAAGTTTTGTTCACTGGCTAGGTCATTAAATTTCAAATGAAAATTGATTTTGCAGAAAAGAGCAATTTGAGAAGGCACAGACTGCTGATCCTGTAAGTTATAATTTGTAGATCTAGATCCATCATCTGTACAATGCTCCAAAATTTTTCATATTTGAGCATTTCTCCTGCAACAATATTCTTTTGGTTTTATGAAGATATGTACTAGTGTTATTATTATGTTATATTCTTGGGGTTTTCCGCTGCATTGTGCTGATATCTACCAACTATTGTGTTAGACTTTCAGCTTTGGAATGCTTCTCAGTTGGAGATGGTTTACCATGGAAGATGCATGGTTTCATCGGTAAGTAACTTAATTGTTGCTTTATATACTTCTCTTTGATGCTGTTGTGCTATATTTCATTTTCTTTTATACTAAATCTTTGTATCTTGAAATGTCAACAACTCAAGTTTTTCTTCCTGTGATTTTTGCTCTTGTGCTAGAATGTAAGTTGAGCAACCCATGCTAACTTAGATTTATAATTCTGGTGAAAAAGGCCACAGAATACCTTACTTCCAGTACTTTTTACCATACAAAGTAGTTTTAATTCTTGATCTTACCTTTGTTGGCTGTATCATGTTGCTAGCCTTATTATAGGATTTCTGTTCTTTTTATCAAATTTTCATCTCTTATATAACCATGGATATCAATTCATATGTTGAACTGCACTTCATTTTGGTGTTCTCATTGAAGATATGCCTGAATACGCTTGACCCAGTTAATAGTGATCTAAAAATGGTAGTTCTGTTAGTTTTGTGTGATAATAGGAACCACACTTCATTCCCTCTACATTGTGCAGGATGTATTGGGCAAAAAAGATTCTGAGTGGACAAGAGGACCTGAAGAAGCCCTGCAATATCAATAATCTAATGACAAGGTAGTTGAGTTATGATTTCATGGTCGGTTTTATTTTACCAATTATATCCAGTTTTTTAACTGAGTCCTGTAAGCTTGGAAGCAGTATGAAATAGATGGGAGGATCCAAATGGATATGTTGGTTCATGTGGTCAATATGTGGTGTTCATGATCAGGTTGAGTTTTATCACTTCTTGTTTTGTTTGTTATCTTGGAATCAATTTGAATTTTCCATGGACATCTTGATTTCAGGGGTGGAAAGAGCGACCTATCTTTGGGAAAGTACGTTATATACTTGCAGGGTGCAAGAGGAAATTTGATGTTGTGGATACATTTCCCTTGTCAAGAGGATAGCGGCCAATCTAAGAAGAGAAAATCAGAAACCCTTCTCAGTGAAAAGGCGAAGGAACTCCATAGTTAATCAACAATATGATTTTGAAGCTGCAGTCTAAATACACTGCACTTGTTAGATTCAGTTAATTTTTGTGTAATTGATCTCCACATATCACAATTCGACAAATAATAGATGTGTATATAAATCTCCTATGCAAAGGATGTTTGTGAACTACCTTCTTGCGCATATAGGCTTGCTCTGGTACTTGAAATCAGTGTTTTAATAACCAACCCAGGGTGAAACCTAGCAAAATTGTCGGGTCCGGTTGACTGGTTTAATGGGCCGGTCAAACCAAGTGTCACAAAGTTTAAAATTTGACAAATACACCCTTAAAAATTACAGTAAGTCCCTTTAGGTTTGAAATTTAGCAAACATACCTTAAATACAATTGAAGGTCGACTTTTACAGTGACAACTAGAGGTGTTCAAAAGAACGATTGAACCGGAACTGGTGGGTATCGGGGGTTTAATTCCGTTCCTATCCGAACTGGTCGTCAACGGGTAAGTTTTGATTCCAAATATTTGAATCGTTACTGTGCGATTTTGGTTTTGATTCTTATAGTTAGAATCGGAATCGGGAATCGAGACTAATATAAAATAAAATTAAAGAGTAGGGGGTTAATAAAAATTTTTACAGAAAAAGTAATGTAAATACATTATATTTATATTCATAACATTTAAAGTAAGTTGATTGACTTTTGAGAATCTATCTTTACAAAGTAATGGAATTTGAATTTGTAATTTGTAATTTTATTTTCCAACTTTACTTCATAAATAACTTACTGATTTTTGCCTGCCACCAGTACTTGTATCGAAACTCTGCTGCTTTACGAAATTGAGCTTGAAATGAAGCTCTTCCTGAATTTTAAAACTGATATCCAAGTAAATACCAGGTCTTAGCAGCAAAACCGGTAGAGAAGTACCATGGGCTGACGTTAATTATGCTTATGCTTTACAATGTGAAACTGTTGAGTCTGTAACATAAAATGAGTCTCTTGCTATGTGATAGAATCTCATCTAGCTGAATTTGAGATTAGCTACCACAGTCACATATTTTTAATGCCCAGACCACCATTTATGTACATTAATATAGTTCATCATCAATGACAAGTGTGCCAGCAGCGGTGAGAGTGTCAGCCATTTGTTTCATTTTAAGTACATTGAGGAGATGGATTAGAAATTGAAGCAGAGTATTTATCCTCTGATTTGGACTCTTTGAGTTACGAAGAATTGGAAACCTTCAGTGAGATTCTAACAAGACATTTTCTTGATGGTGTTTGTTTTCCACGAAAATGAAAGAAAATTATTAGAAATGATGGATATAATACAATGAGTCTTGAGCAATACATAGCAAACATACATTATTAGGATGACAAAGCTTCAAATAAAAAAATTGAAAATACACAAGAAGGAGACAAGAAATTCTAATACATCAGACGACCTGCAAGATAGAAAATATAGTCTGTGTGACTGTGAGAATTAGGAGTATAACTGCTGCAACAGTTGCTGTGCCCCTCCAGATATTGGGGAAATATACTCTTCTCAGAGTTGCCTTCGCTCTGTTCCAAGGATTGTTATAATGGTCTTTCAGTTCCTTGCAAATCTCAGGGAAGTAGGAGGACACTCAAGTTATCATCGATCTGCAAGATTCGTTAACCAGATTTGCTACTAAAGTATTGTTGCCCAAATTATTCTTGATAACTCCCTCTCCCACAAGCAAATCCACATCTTTTTCAGTATCAATAAGATAGTCCAAAAAAATTATATAATTGCAAAACCGAGTATCTGATGGATAATGACACTGCTCAAAAGCTAAAATGTTCCTAAGTAAACATTCGGTCTGAGAATGCACTGAGAAATGTGGTATTTGCAACTCATGTAGATTAAAGCACGGGATTCTATGCTTTCGCTTTTCAAATTTTACCTTGAGTCTGCATTCTCGTTCAACACTCTTAAACTTCACCCCTGACTCATGCAACTTCATTGCACAAGGAAAATCAACCATATATCCATGTGGCTGTTCTTCTGGGTGTCCTTTCAGTATAGTACTTCTTCTCCAATCTGCAAAATGTTTAACCGTCTCCCCGGGGGCTAATGGATTTAATTTGAAATCAGCATGTTGTCCAAAAAAAGACCGACAAAGTTCCATGAAGGTAGGTAAACCAAAGCCAGCCATAGGTAAGTACATCTCGTATATTTTCTCGAGGACAAAGTACGGAAGTTGATTTTCTACTAGTTGCAGGTCCGAGCGTAAAGTATATGCTTGTGTGTCTATAGCTAGCAGTAAATCACTTCTATCACCCTTTGCTATCCTTACGAAAAACCCTATGATGACGATGGCATCATACATAATCATCAATCTATAACGAAGACTGTTAAGCTTAGATATTTCTGCATAAGAATGACGAATTCCTCGTTCGTTGTTCTTGATGAAGGTTGAAATTTCATCAAGTTTCTGGTCATTTGTTTCGTCACGAAAGCATTTCATAAATCTTTTTTTCTTATTTTCCATATCAGCTAATTCTTTTTTACCATGGTGAAGTGGACCAATTGAAATTAATCGAGGAGTGTAATCATCTGCTTTCATTCTACGAATCTTAAAAGGAACCCGGTAAATACAACACTCATTAGCAGTGGGCTCAGCCTGCGAGTGTTCCTCAATGTCAATTAGAACCTCGTCGACCATATCGTTATTTTCAGTGGAATTACTCATCGCTCTAAATGACAAACAGAAAATAATAGTTAACAATAAAGATAAACTGAACCCATCAAATATGAGAGAGAGTGATTTTAATGGACTGGATGGAGTGGGTTCCATGTGTGTCCTTGAAATGAATAACGATTGCAAAAAAACAAAAACAAAAAACAAAAAATTCTCTTTCTTCTTCATTATAATCTAAAATAATTCTAAAACAAAAAAAAAAAAAAAAAACAAAACAAAACAAAACAAAATTAATAGCAAATAAATTTAATGTTGAGTAACTACTTACTAGTTTAGACATGTTTTCAAGTGAAATGACAACTTTACAACAAAATTTGATTTAATATCTAAATCTTGTGATACCTTAAACTATTCTCAGAGTTAGAAAGTATAGAAATATAGAATAAATTTTTTTCGTTTTCTTTGTCAACATATACCTTGATATTCATAATGAAATGAATATTCATTCCATGTAATTTATACACAGTTTATTAACTTTCTAAACCAATTAAAACAGGTGCGCATTTGAACCTGAATATTTTGGCCAACAATTAATAAGTGGTCAGATAGTAGCAGAGCTCCTCCTTTCAAGTACATATTTTGAACCTATGGTATCTCACTCCCTCTCTTCTCGATATGTCCACTATATGTATATTGGGCGAACGACTTATGCATACCCAACGTTTGTCGAAACGATAAGTTGGTATCCAAAAAATTTTGAAACGACAAATAGGTACCTTTCGTCATGTTCTGTTAGTGATTTTCATTTGATAATAGTGAAAAGACTAAAATACCCTTAAAAGTTTAATATTTTAGTTTTTTATAAATTTAAAAATTTCTAAAAAACCCCCAGGTTTGCTAATTTGATTAAATACCCCAATATATAAAAAGTTTATAAAATAACAAATACACCCTGGCCACCCACAGTGTCAGATTCCGGCCTCTGGCCGGAAAATTGCGTTACGACACAGACCCATCGGATCTGTGTCGTAACGCGTAGATCTTTCATTTTTCGGTAAGATCCGTGGCTGATCTGGTCGGAAAAGGCCAGATCTACGGCCAGATCTGGCCGTCAAGACCGGAAACTTGCCAGAAAATTGTGTTACGACACAGACCCATCGGATCTGTGTCGTAACACGTTGATCTGGCATTTTCTGGCCAGATCCGTGGAGGATCTGGCCGGAAAGTGCCAGATCTGGCCGTCGAGGTCGAAAAAGGCCAGATGTAGATCTGGCCTTTTCCGGCCAGATCCATGGCGGATCTGGCCGGAAAAGGCCACATCGGTGTGTTACGACACAGATCCGAAGGGTCTATGTCGTAACACAATTTTTCGGCCAGATTCCGGCGGTGGTGGCCGGAATCTGGCACTGTGGGTGGCGGGGGTGTTTTTGTTATTTTATAAAATTTTTATATATTGGGGTATTTAGTCAAATTAGCAAACTTAGGGGGTTTTTTATATAGAAATTTATAAATTTATAAAAAACTAAAAATTAAACTTTCAAGGGCATTTTAGTCTTTTCACTATTATCAAACGAAAATCACTAACAGTACATGACGGAAGGTATTCATTTGTCGTTTTAAAACCTTTTGGATACCAACTTATCATTTCGGCAAACATTGGATATGTATAAGTCGTTCTCCCTATGTATATTTGACATACTTTTCTGCTCCTGATACTTTTATTATTCAACACGTTAATTCCATGAAGACTAATAGCTAATTAAATAGATACCAACCATCTGCAAGAAATAAATGCTTCTATAAATTCTTAAATATATATCGAAGTGAATTTGTTCAACTGTTCTTCTTATTAATTTCTTTAGTTAATTAGTCTTAATAATTTGTTTTATATATATATATATAACAAGGAAAAAAGGAATAATACAGCCTAATAATTTTCTACAGTATAATACCCTATATTTCATCCATTCTAAACCTCTTGGTGAAGGAAAAAAAAAAATCCTACTAATTAATTATCATAAAACAAATTAAGAACATAAATAAGCGAATTAATCAGAACCTGAATATGTTGGCAAGAAATGAAAACATAATTGCGTAGTTGAGAGCAGCAGTTTCCTGATCCCGAGATCCTTCTCTCGAATACTGTCACAGCTCACAGGGTAATACGTTTTCTCTTCTGCTTCCATTATTTGCCTTACTATGTGTTATATATAAACAAGTTCATCTTCTCAATTTAATGATTGAATAAAGACTGCAGTAATGTGAACCAGCAGACCTATACACAAAAGTTGTCACCTTTTTGCTTGGTTTATTCACATATTTCCTACTTAAAAGAACACAAGTTGAACGACTAGAGAAAAGACTAAGCTTAAATTAATTAACTGGAGCGCACTACATAATTTTCAAAGACTATGTACCTAACACCTATTTAACAAATGCTAATTGAAGGATTAAAGAAAGACCTAAGTTAACATCAGCCTTAAATAAAATAAGATTAATCATCAAACCATTTTGGGTTTTGCTTAGGTGGCAAGAAATTGGACTTGAGAGTTGAGACAACCTAGACTCGGGATTCCTCACAAACTGAAGGCCCACGGGCATGAAAGGTTTGCAAGTATCCACATCTAATGGGTTAAATAATCATAACTGGATCATTAAAACAGCCCAAGCCCAAGCCCAAGCCCAAGCCCGAGAAATTTGTCTAATGAGAGGTAGACCCAAACCTATAAAATGATGACAAGTGGCCACATGCCAATACAAGATAACTTATCATTAAGCATGAATTCTTGTAATTATCACTTCCTGGATTAATTTGATGAGAGAAAGAATTAACTCACCCTGAGTTACTAGTTCAATTTTCAAGGACCTGACTTTTCAAATACTTGTAATAAACAATATGGATTTTGAGGCTGCAGTCTAAAGACAGTGCACCGGTTAGATTCAGTTAATTTTTGTGTAATTGATCTCCAACATATCACAATTTGACAAATCATAGATGTGTATATAAATCTCCCATGCAAAGGATGTTTGTGATCTAGCTTCTTGCACATGTAGGCTTGCTCTGGTACTTGAAATCAGTGTTTTAATAACCAACCTAGGGTGAAACCCAGCAAAATTGTTGGGTCCCAGGTTGACCGGTTTAATCGACCAACCAAACCAAGTGTCAAAAAGTTTAAAATTTAGCAAATACACTCTTAAAATTACAGTTGAGTCACTATAGGTTTGAAATTTAGCAAACACACCTCAAATACAAATCGAAGGTCGACTTCTTAGCGGTGACGACACACCAAACGCAATCCCAACCATCCCTTGAGCCCCATTCCTGAGAAAACCAAGGTCCGATCTCACCACTGTCGATGTCAATAACCCTCTGCAACACCACAAAAATACCCCTATCAACCTCCGGACCAAAACCCATCTCACCACACCCCTGTTTGCCTTGCCAATCGCCGGCAAAATCTGACTATTGCCGTTGTCCCTTTTTTTCAATTTCCAATTAATTCACTCACCAGAAATCAACTTTGTTGTCACCATTGCACTCACCGACCATTCCTCTTCAAAAGCCCCAGCATCACAGCCTTCAATTTTTCGCCAATCATCATCCCAATTTTTAGAGATTTAGGTGAATAAGAAAATTTATAATCGGGCCTAGTGAAAACTCCAGGTCTTGGTTCAACCAGTCGGGCCAGGTTTTAAAACACTGCTTGAAATTTAATTAAGTCTGGAGCATGAGATAAACTTTTAAGAGATTATGGCAGAACTCAGAACCATTCACATGGTGGAGAGTTTTGTGAAAATCACAAGTCCAAACCAACAGTTCGAAATTTAAATGAACTCTCAAAAGAGTGAGTGATCATCAAAAAGGCAATTTAGGAACAATCTGTAGCAAAATTTCTTATATTGCACACGCCCTGCACAATAACTTGTTCAATTGTACGTCATTTGATATTTCTACTACTAGAACTATTCCATCCAAACTAGCTCACCTAAATAAAATACTTCAAGGATACAAAGGATAAATTAATGACATTGCATTTGAAATTAAATCAGATGAGCCATTTCAATGAACCTGAGAAAGTTATCAAAAAGAAGACTCGGCCAGTGAATAGCGAATATTCGTTCGTTTATCCTTCAACCAGAGGTGTTTTTCCTTGCTGCATAGACACGGTAAGCTGCCAGTCCAACAATGGCCACTGCAGCTCCAACTGCAACGGTGAAACACAAGCAATAACATGGTACACAGTTAACAAGTAGATGGAAGATTTATGAATTTGCTTTTTATTATTTTAGTAGGTAAAAATAAAGCTTAGACCCAGACAATCAACAAACCTGAAACAAACATAAGCGAGCGATTAATGAGTCGATGATATTGCTTCCGGGTTCTCCCAGCTTCAGTTTCTGGAATGCTCAAGTGCGGATGCTCTGCTGCAACTACAATCCTCCGGAATATATCATTGAAATCACCCAACTTTGAGCTAATTGGAATAGGAGCTTCTATTCCCATATCCTGACTAACCTACAATAGCAATATTCCGACAAAGTTAGTTAATTTTCAACCCAGCTTAAAAACAGAAATGGATTTAAAAGGAAAAAGGTGAAACAGCATATAATACTGCATTTTACCCACATACATGAGCACAAAACAATCTAAACTCTAGCATTGCTCAAGATTGCAACAATAAAACTGTCTTGGTTTACTTAGTAACCAAGAATGACCAAATAAAATGTCTTGATAGGCATTGACTTCTACAGTCAGGACATTTTTGCTCAGCCAAGAAACATATCAGCCAGAAAATTAATCTTAACACAGAAAAAGAAATTAACCACAAGAAACACCAAGATAAAGTACTTAATTAAGCAAAGACCTTTCAAATCAAGAGCATGATGATGTTGATTTCCTAACCCAAGAAGAGAAAATACTCACTATTGCTATCATTGATTAGAATACTTTAAAAACGAAAAAAATTATCAAACTAAGTACATACCCTGGTAGAATCTTGTATTGCGGTTGGAAATGAATCCAGATCATCTTTAGCAGCAACAATGAGGCAAGGCACCTCATAGCCAGTATCCTCACCATGAGTGGCAACATCTACAAGTAACTCAGTTGCTTTTTTCCATGAGGACTCATCAGAACTGCAGAAGCAAATGGAGTAACAAATGAACTTAAAATATGTAACAACAAAACTTACCACTCCAAGAGTGATAGCTGGCAGAAGATGCATATCAAAGAGTCACACAGACAAAAAGAACCTCTTTTTGCATTCTCACCCATAGAGTTAAAATGGTTTTGTGAAGCTAACCATGATTCTGTATTTAAATCCTTGATTAGAAATGGCCAAACCATATGATTTCAAAAGATTTTAACATCACAGTTCATTAGATGACTAGAAGCAATACTCATTCTAGCCTTCAGTCTACCTGTCGTGAACAAAAACTGCTACATCACAGGCAGCCAAAGAATCTTTATTAGAGAGTAGTTTTCCAACTCCATCCTCAGGAATTTCTCGCAACACAAGGATTTTTCTAGTTCCCTGCAGAGACAAGCAAAATACAGTTAGTCAAAGAATCAAACCATCCACACATTTAAGAACATAAACAGAAACTCAGATAACATTTAAGAGGAAAAAAAAATAGCACACTGTTAAAACTAGGAAGTACAAAAGATCTAGGTAATCCTTTTAAAAAAGAAACAAGATCTTCTAAACACTACTTTTTTTTTAACTTTACCCAAATTAAAAGATAGAAACAAGAGAAGAGAGTCAACTCTTAAAGATTATACTTATCAATCTAATATTTGAAGAACCAAAAGCTGATGGCAATTATGTTAACCCACTTAAAAGCTAGAAGCACGTCGCAGCCATGCATACTATGACGACATATTTTAAAAGAGTAAATAATTCACAATTTGACATAAAATTTGGGATGCATTTTCTTTAGTATTGATAAACTCATTGGGAGAAGAATCTGAACTGCTTATTTATAATATGCAGCAAAATACCAACTTCATAAGCTAAGAAAAACAAAAGATGACGTCAAAAAGAAACATACAATTTGAAAGGCATGCAATGACAAATAGTAAAATAAAAAAATGAATGAACCACAGCATTCAATATGTGCTTACATGTGTATTCTTTCAACTCTCGTAAAAGGAATTTAATAATGCGGACTTTCCAGCATTCTTTGGCCCAAAAACAAAACACTGGAAAACATTTCTTTCTGATAGTTGTTTTTTACGATCTATACGTCTTCTCCTTGTCACACGGACAGCAGAAGAAGGATCACCAGTATATCCAATGTATATCAGATTTTCCACAGTAGAAGCTGGGTCTAAAAGTGTCATAAATGCCCACTGCAACACAAATATTCATCATAAATTAGGAATCAGGAGGATAAACAAGTTCCAGCAGTTTACACTGCTATTTGATAGTGAAAGTTTATGTTAAACCAATATACTGAACACAAGAACCTCTAAACTAAAGATAGACTTAACGTGGATGTTGTTTTACCCGCTTATTTATCAATTCTTCAAACAAATACCTGTGAAAAAAACCCATCGAGTGATAGTCCTCCCAGTGCAGTTATCTCTGCAGCATCCTTATATGGTGCTTCATCCCAAGGACTGAAGTTAATGAAAAATGAGTCAAAACATTTATCTATATATAGATGTACATTTTTTTTGTTAAGTAACTTAAAGGATATCAATAATCACAATTGCTTCACAAGTAAACAAGTGATCCACAAAAAGTAGGACTCATTTAAGGATTACAAAAATATCTATACAGTATATAATGAACAGCTCTTTGAACACGCTATGGGTAACTAAAAAATCTAAATCAATAGCACAACATTAACTAAAGACCCCTTTTAAATTAAGTGAATAAGGAAAAGAGAAGTATCCTGACAAGCTTTTAAACACCAAAGCCGAAAGAAAAGCAAGCAAACAGGCTCTGTACACAAAATAAAGATATCTTCCTCACATCTATCTTCAAAAATCTTTTTGTTTCTTTCTTGCCAAATCACCCATAAAGTAGGTAAAACAGCACAATTCCATACGACTTTGGTCTTTTCTCCTTTACCAAACCACAAATGTGCTCTGAAAGAAATAAGTCAAATGTTATGTGGGAACAGTTCGAAAGTGGCAGCTTATCCTAGAAGACATTCAATCTAGCAAGAATATTATGTGGCAATCCCTATTTCTCCCCAGAAAACCATGTTGTATTAAGTAATAATGCTAAATCATCATCTGAAGAAGTATTTTTCAACAGCTATTCCTTAATACTCATCAAATCAAATTAACAACAGAAGAATTTGAGTGACTTGTTGATCCAACAGGCGATTACATGGTTTTCTACTATAAGTAGATAAGTTATTGAAATTAGTAAAAAAATGATCATTATAATACCATTCGGGTGCTGTAGAGAACAGATCATCGACTTCAGTTGGCCGCAGGGTATTGTCCTGGTATGAAACACTTAGGATCTTGTAAGCTAGTGAACTACTTGGCAAACAGTTAATCTCTAACCATATCATAATGAAAGCATTAATTGTGCAAAATAAACTCGAAACTTCATTAGCAGCACAGTTAAACGTCAAGTATGCACCAAGACACAGGCCAGGACAAACACTATCAGAGTCAAAAAGTTCGAAGATTCCCTTCAAAAAGTCAACAGCTTCATTAGTCAGCTCCACGCTCTACACAAAAGCAAAAACTAAAAGTAAGCATCTAAATAACACTGCAAGCTGCAAACAAACATGGAGGCAAACATTAAAATACACAGTGACATAGCACAGACAGACAAAGAATTAAACATTTCAACTTAACACTAGATTAGGTAGAATGTCTCACCAGAAGGTAATAAGAGACAACCTAAAACCCCATGAACATAACAAAATTAGAAAAACAACGCTAGGCTTCAACTATTTAGAATCTATGCTCAGCAACACCCAACCAGATTTCAAATTTCAATGTGTTATATTCTGCAAACTTTGGTTTCAGTCTTGTAACTTGTAGACCAAGTTTGGCCCCTTGTTACACTTAATATTTTCAATGATTGTGTAACACTTTTGATCGGCCGTATTGAGTTCCTAATAAGTTGTTTACTAGTTGAGATGCTGCTCAGATCGATCCCACCCAATAGTAATAGGACACTTGAAAAGGGTGAAAGGATGAAATTCATCTCAAAGAAGAACCTCCTTAGCTGAAAAAAGAGAGTCGAATCGAAGAATTATGGTTCTAGAATTGGATGAAATGCACCTAGAGAGAGGAGAAAGTACCTGCAAGTTCATCTTTTTCCTTCTCTGTCCAAATTCACCATTAAATAATGAGAAGTTTAAACTAGAGAGCTTTTCTTAGAGTCCCAAGGACCACGGGCAATCAAGGGCTGATATGCCAACTGCATGCACAAGACCATAGAAGCCAGGCTAGCAAATTTCCACCAACAGAAGGGAGAAGTGCACAAACTAGCCTAAGTTCTTGGTCCACTTCCAGAAGCAAAGTAGAACAGTTGTATCCCAATCCAGCACAATTGCTTTTGCAGCATAATATTATAAAATTTATTTGAATTCTTCTAAATAACTTCTTAACTAGCAACCAAAGAACTCCAGTATTCTAAAGATATTGTCAATGAATTCAAGTCTAGCATGTCATGAACCTACAGCTTCAAAGCAGTAAAATCACATGTTTCAATCTGGAAATTCTTCTATAAAATGTTTATAAAGCCTCTTTATAACTTAATACAGTTTCCATTCAAAACTAGGAAAAATATACAAAAATACATAAAAAAATAACAACAGGTAAGATCACTTGTGTTGAACTAGAGTGGTAGCAATCATTAGTGCACTTAAAAAACTGTTACCTGATCAGGTGCTCGTTTGAATGATGAATGTGGAATCAATTCATCCGCAAGTTTAATATCATTATTATATCCAAATTTCCTAAGGACAGTCCATGTTGTCTCAAGGCGTCCTTTTTCAATAAATAGTGCATGAAGGAAAAGAAACCCCGCCAGTGTAAGACCACGATCATTGACTCCTTCTCGCAATTTTTCTTGCACAACCCTCTTAACACCTACTATTTCAGAAGGTTGTAATGGAGAATTGAAACATTTGACCTGTTACAACAATTATTAGGACCTTCACAAACCTCAAACACACGCTGCTGAAAGTCTCTTTTCTTGACCTTAGAGTCAAAAAACCTTTTCGCACGCTGCTGGTAAAATGCTATCCTTAACCGAACCTTGTCCTGGTGTTCTTCAACTAGGTCCAGATTTGCACGTAGAAGTGATTCATTGTATGTTTCATTGAATAAGTCTCTTCAAAGTGAATCAGTCCCTACTTTGACTGGGATCATAGCCTCACAACCATATGCTAGCAAGAAAGACGTTTATGAAGTAGAGATTCTCGGAGTCATTCTATGTGCCCATAGAACTTCTGGGAGGTCATCGACCCAATTGCCCTTGGCAGAGACAAGCTTGGCCTTCAGTGTGTGCTTGATGGTTTTATTAACAGCTTCAACTTGACCATTGGCTTGCAGTCTTGCGACTGAGGCAAACTTTTTATGGATATCTAGCTCATCGCAAAACTGCTTGAATTCCTCATTGTCGAACTGCTTCCCATTATCAGAGATGAGTGTATGAGGAATCCCGTAGAGGCACACTATATTCTTGAAGACGAAGTCTTTGAGCTTCTTGGTAGTGATCGAAGCTCAGCCTCAACCCATCGGATGAAGTAATCTACCGCGACCACAATTTACTTGACGCCCCTTTTTCCAGTTGGCATGGGCCTAATAAGGTCAATTCCCCACATAGAGAACGGTCAAGGGCTGGTCATTGTCGTCAACTGGTGGGAAGAAGCTCGCGGTATGTTCGCGAATCGCTGGCACTTATCACACTTTTCCACAAAATTGAAAGTGTCTTCCTGAAGTAGGATTGAACGGTTTCGAAACCGCGAGCCATTTGCTGATGGATAAGATTGATCGGTCAGAGGTTTTTGATGAAGAGTAGATACTAAATCAGGCCCTCCTTCTAGCATCAAACTGTTGATGCTTGATTTTGACACCAACGACTCACATATGCAAAGTGCTAAGCGGGCCTAGAAATTACACTGGTATGAAAATATGTAGCGAGAGAATAAACAAAAAATGGTTTTTAAAGTGGTTCGGATGCTCAAAAGCGAATCCTACGTCCACTATGGTTCTATTATAGATGGTTACAAACAGATCACGTGCAGCGAGCTGAATTACAATCTAGAGAGAATATATAGAGAGAAAGAGAGAATGTATGTTGTTTAAGACTAAAGATAAGCCAATCCCGTAAGAGATGAGCCCCCTATTTATAGTTGGGAAATTCAAGGTAATAATCATGAGTCTACAGTCCGGCAAGTGAGGTACAATTCCTAACCCACTTCTCATTGGTTGTCTGCACAAGAGACATCCTTAAATCGCGTAGGGCTTGGGCAGGTGGACGATTCCTATACACTCGCAAGTCTGACATTCACCTGCTACACTGACGGGAACCATACCTCTTCTGTCATTGTGTGACGTGGCAACGTCTAGAGGATAAAAAGCCTCCCTAAATTCTGATTGGCCCTTACTAACAAGAGTCCACGTCAGCCCTGATTTTTTAGGCATAACACAACTTTTGGACCAAATCCTCATGTTTCAAGAAAGCACTTGATCCAAATCCAACCAATTTGCAACAACAAAGAACACAAAAATATGCCTAAACTCAAGCTCAAATTCGGCCAAACACAAATGGAAGCAATGTCACACTTACTTGCAATTTTTAGGTTAAGACAAGAATGAACACTTCAAGCATAAAGGAATTCTCCACCAACTTGAATCGATTCACCACCAAATCTCCTTGCCAAGACTTGGATAAAGAAATCTCAATAAGAACACAAAGTTCTCTCAATGGTTAAACCAAGTTTTTGATAATTTTCATGAACTAACTTTACAAGGAGAATAGTTGCCTTTATATAGGCAATTACAAGGTTAAAAGAGTAATCAACAAATACATTACAAGAAAATGAAAATTAATAAATATTACACAAAAATTACAAGCCTTCCATTCAAATTTAAGGCCATACCCATTTAATGCAAAAAGGGACATGATTCCCTAATTCTAGGGTTCATGTCTTTAACCACCCTATTAGTTGAAAAAACTCACTTTATTAGCCCAAAACTTGATCAATGATCCTAATCAAGTCTACTAATAAGGGTGTAAGAGATTGGGCCTTGAAGATCTTGCAATTGGATCCAATAAGGGTTCAAGTGGACTTTCCCCTTTGGAAAGAGAATTGAGCCGAATGGGCTCACTTCAACACTTGGGCTTCTCTCTTGGTGGACTTGAGCTTCCTTTGTTGGGCTTGGACTTGGAATGGTTTGGGCCGAAGTGCTTGGGCTCTCTCTCCCCTTGGGACTTGCTTGGGCCGAATCTCCTCCAATGCTTTCCACACTCCACAATCCAAGTGTTTTAGGACTTGGAATGAAACTCTTTGATTTAACCGAATTAGCAAGTGTTTTAGGACTTGTAATTCCTTGTCCACTCATGTTTACAAGTGTTTTAGGACTTGTAAACGTATCAGCACTCATCTCCAAGTTCATTCCTATAACCAAAGTGCAAACAAAATAGTCACTAAAAATAAATAGATAAATGCAAACTCAAAAGGAAATCATTTATGTGCATGAGGTTATTTACTTAAAACTGCCTCGAGTTCCTAACTTATATGCATGCATTATTTTCTCATATATTACAAATATTTATTCATATAAGATACTACACAATCTCTCATATCCACACCACTTGGATGCTAATTAAAGGTTTCTTTTGTTTATAATCCTAAAATAATTCTAAAACAAAAAAAAAAAAAAAAATAGTAGACTAATATAATGTCGAATTAATACCTAGTTTATGCATGCTTTTAGGTGAAATGACGATTTAAACAAGATTCAATTTAATATCTAAATCATGTAATACCTTAAAATGAGTTGATAAATATAACATCTTAAACAATTTTCAGAGTTAGAAATTATAGAAACATAGAATTTTTTTTTTTTTTTTCGTTTTCTTTGAAAGCATATGCATCGATATTCATAACATGTTATTTATGAATGGTTTATTAATTTTTTAAACCAAACATCAGAATAACTAGGATTAATATTTTCTGTACCAAAAAGATAAAAAGAAAGAACACGAATATAATAAAAAAAATGAAACAGGTGCACATTTGAACCTGAATATTTTGGCAGGAAATTAATAAGTAGTCGACAGCACCAGAGCTCCTTCTCTCAAATATATGTTTTAAACTTATGGTGTCTCACTCCCTCTCTTTTCGATACGTCCACTATATATATATTTGACATACTTCAATCATCTTGTTAAGGTTCTTCCCATTCTGCTCATGATAATTTTCTTATTTAACACGTGATAGTCCAACGATCAAAGAAGACTAGTACCTAACTGAGACAACCCTTGTACCCCACGTGTTGCCTAAATATCTAGCACTCGAGAATTTATACCATTGAATCAAATGGTATAAATATATAGTTAAAAATTTAAATCAAATATTTTATTTAAAAACATCCTATTCTAATAAGTAGATGTAAGAAGCCCTATTAAAGTGCGAATAACTTAGATAAGCCGATAGTAGTGAAAAAGATAATACATTTGAAAATGTGTGAGCACTATTTTGAAAACCGGACTGAACCGACCAGTCTGACCAAGAACCATCACTAACTCCAATCTAGTTTACCCCTCAAACCCGGTTTTGCAATTGGGTTAGATTGGGTTGGATTTGGACTAGTGGAATAGTAACGAATTGTCGGTTCAATCGGCAGCCCTGATTCCAACGCCAAACACCCCACTTGACACCACTATCGGCATCAGCTTCATCGCCACATCAAAACCCCGAATATCCCAAAGTCCAATTGGCCTCCGATCGTTGTCCCCTTTGTGGTTTCCTGTCCAGATTATAGGGGTGTGTTTGCTAGATTTCAAACTTTTAGGGACTGATGTGTAATTTATCAATGGTATTTTTGTTAAGTTCGGTTTGACCAATTTGACCAGGAAACTGGGAAGCGGTCCCTTGAACAGATCAAGGAGCGGTCCGATTTTCAAAATATTGTTTGTGAGGAGAGTGATTTGAGATTGAGTTACTATTCTTTAAGATAATATTCTACAGTATAATACCATATATTTCATCCATTCTAAACCTCTTGGTGAAGAAAAAAAAAAAAAATAGAATAAAATGAGAGTTGTAGGAACCAAATATTACATGGAAATCATAAGCATCAAGTACGTAGGAATTAATCCAATCAATCAAACATACCATATATATTACCTATCAAAGCAATCCAATTAATTAATTATCATAAAACAAATTAAGAACATGAACAAGTGAATTAATCAGAACCTGAATATTTTGACAGAAAATGCAGAAATAATAGTGTGGGTGCGAGAAGCAGTTTCCCAAGATCCTCCTCTCCAATATTGTCACAGCTCACAGGGATTTGTTACTCATGGTATCTCTCTCCATCTCTCTTCGATAATACGTTTTCCCTTCTGCTTCCTTCCACATTATTTCAGTTACTATGTGTTATATACAAACAAGTTCATCTACTCAATTTAACGATTAAACAAAGACTACAGTAATGTGAACCAACAGACCTATACACACAAGTTGTCACCTGCTTCCTTGGCTTATTCACATATTTCCTACTTAAAAGAACACAGGTTGAACGACCAGAGAAAAGACCAAGTGTAAATTAATTAACTGGAGCTTACTACATAATTTTCAAAGACTGTGTACCGCAGGGATGAGTTACTTATGGTGAATCTCTCCCTTCTCTCTTTGTTTATTGATAATGTGTTTTCTCTTCCACTTCCACTTCCCCTAGCATTTGTATATTATATACACGGCCTTGATAATGTGACTCCTTTCTACTGCAAGTTAAAATCCCACAATTACATAATTACAATCCCAATTATCAAGCTAAGTACATATACCTGATCTTTTGCTTTATCATGTGCTTTATTGCCTATTTAAAAAATGCTAATCCAACGACTTATGATGAAAGCTTGTTAAACACTTAACTGAAAGTTACAAGGGAGTG